GAAGGTCAATAATTAGATCAACATTAGAAATAGAAAAGTTTCTAACATAGCCTAGCTAAAACAGAGAGAACTATCTTCAAACTCGAAAGATAGAATACAATAGAATCAGAGGTTTCACAAAATTTGCAATTAGTTCAACATATGATAAATTACCATTTTTGAAATGTCCAAAATATACTTCAACAGTTATGTGTTTTGAATATGAGATGCAAAACAACAAATACATAAAAAGTTTTATATTTTTATAACTTCGCTTATTTAGCTAAGTTTTGATTAATTGACTGTTTATTGCGAACTTCATATACTAACTGACCTCAAGTTTTAAAAGTAGAAGCAAAAACTGGAAATAAAATCGGTTGCGTCGAAGCTAATCCAGTATTGGTTATAAAATTAGGTAACCAAGAATGAACTGTTTTAAACAAGTTACGCAGTTTGAGATCGTGTTTTTGTAAATTCCAATTCGCTGTTGAAGAAAGAAATTCTACATTTCGAAAATGCTCGGGTTATCGGCTTTTTTTTATGATTCATGTAATTTTCATTTTCTGGAAATACTATAGATGTATATGTACTTATTTCTTATCTTAGACTTTAGTAGTTTAAAAAAAGAATTGAAAAATCTAGTACTGGAATTTTCAACCTGAACAGCACCTTGTGTCGCACATGGCCTAAACAACCAGATCAGAAATTTCTACAGTTTAATCATAGCCGTTCCTAATTTTGGACGACTTACTAAAAGCAATTATTTTTTGTTAATCCGGCATGTTAACTTCTAGAACACGCTCACCTTTCGAGCTTACTGGAAAGTGGACTTATTAGGAGCTTTCAGGAAGGAATTAACACTTGCGAAGGACAAAAATACAAAACCTTATGACCCTTAGGATTTTGCAGTTTTGTCTTAAATTGATTTTTTTTATTTACTTGTTTTCCTACCACCATGATTGAATTTGCGTAAAATATTGTTTCATCAAGCTATACCTCAGTAATAACTTACTTTTCGCGTATTTCCTTACAGTAATAAAGGATCAAAATGTTCTACTGCTCACCAACTGTTGCTCACCAGTGCTTAAACATTTTTCTCACATTGAACCAGTCCTGGAGTTAACATTATGCTTCAAATATTTAAATATTCGATCACACAGTGAAGAAAATTTTGTGTTTTTCAAGAGATTGATTAAAGCAGTATTAATCAACCTATAAATGCCTGTATTCTTTACATTTTGGTTTTGTTTCAACCAAAAGGGATATCTTGTTGGTGGCGGTCAGATATTCACTTATCTTACCAACAAATATAATTGGAAACGCCGTACTACACATAGGGGAAGGTGAGGTAAGACGGTCCCCTTCGATAAAACAATCACTCTTGTATTTCACCAGGTATGATGTGCTACCATATTGAGTAAACTGTATGTAACTATTTTTCGTGCATAAACACACTGGCGAACGAACGTGAATGTGAATGATCAAAATGCGACTTCAGGTATTCGTTTTTGATTTAAAATAAGCACTGATTTTTTTTTTCAATGGTTACAAAACAGATGTTTCAATGAATTTTATCCTACTCATTTCAAATAATGAGGAATTATACACCGTCAAATATGTCGTGAAAGAAATATAGTTCAAGCTCACTGAGTTTTATGTAACGCCCAACTGCTTTACGATGATTGGTGTATTGGTAAGACAACACCCCCATCCCATTTTGTGGGGCCATCTTACCTCACACTCAAGACGTATATTTCCGTTATAGGATTTAGACGCAATGTATTTCATTTCTCAACACCAGTACTCTCGTTTTTTGAGTTATTAACTTAAATAATGCTCAACTAGAGTAATGCGCATGGCTATCCAGAACCCTGTCGGTAGCATTTAAATGATGATTTAAGTGGAATTTCTAAGCAGAATGTATTTTAAAATTGCAGTTGTTTTGAGTTAAATGAGAGCCACTTTACTCCATCTTAGGGTCCGTTTTATCCACTCTTATAGTTAAAACGGCCCCTTAAGCACAAGCAGTACATTTTTTTTCAGTATGTGAAAAGGTCCATGCCAAGTCATTCTTTTAACTAAAAGTGTCATTTGTAATAACACATAGCTTATTTTAAAATATTTTGATTTTTTTCTTATGACATTCGTCTTAATTGGTGAAAACCGCATTCATTACTACACATTACACTGGTGAAATGCTTTAGGTCAGAATGAAATGTGTTGAGTTTATATTCAGTTACGTTATAGATTTCATTGTTTTAATTATTTCACTCAAAGTGTTGTTTTTTTTATTTTTATCTTGTTTCATCCGATTCAGGCGACCTTTATAATATAATATTTGAAATTACTTTATTCGAATATATTTTCAAAGGTTAAATATATGTATATAATAAAGTGGGATGTAATTGGCTTCAGTACCCACATTTGCTTCTTTTTCCCTATATTTTGAATCATGTGAACTTGGCGAAATTGAAGTTAAACCGGGTAGACGAGGTACCCTAACGTAATTTGGGCCTTACTTCTGTTATTACCTCAAAAAACTAGGGCACATTACTTAATGACCTACCTTGTTGGTTTGTGTCCAGGTGTTGGATTTTTGTTTATGGCTGCGTTTTTATTTATTTATTTTTCACAAAATTAAATCTAACTCTCTCTCTCTCTCTCTATATATATATATAATAGCAAATACAAACTGACAAATTATCTCCACATTTTAAGCATACTGTATGCAACTATTTGCAATAGGTGGTTTCCAAATTATGGTTTCTTTATGTATTGCCTAAGCATAAAGGTAAAAAAGGTGTTGTTCTAGAAAAAAAGTTACCTGTTATTCACGAAATGCACAGAAAAAGATCTTAAATTTTGACTCTGGGCTATTCCTTAATGTCAAGGAGACGTAGCTAATATATATGTGTTTAATATTGCTAGTATGTTATAATAACTATTGTAAAGATATCCTCAATTAGCAGCACTATTCCTTTGAACTCCACAATAAATTAAAACACACGTTAGATATGATGTAACACGTATGTTTCGTAAACCGTATATTAAGAGCACTCAGACGTTAATGTGTTGTCGCTACCATATCAGCTAGACATTCACATATTCATGTTTATTATAACATCCCTTATTTTAAGTATTCTTGAATAACAGCAATTTCTTGAAAATTGGATGACAAACCCCCTATTTCAACATAGGGGTACATTACATGAAAGAAGGAAAGCTATTTTTAATTTAAAATTATCCGGAATGAGCTAAGACAAACAGCCTCTCTACTCATAGAATATCTATTTTAAAGTTTTAACAACTTTGACGCATAAAGTGACATCATCATCCAACTTTACCGCTAAAGGTGAGTACATCCGTGTACCGCCTCAGTTTTGAAATATGAACAACTAACAATGTAGTCAATAACTTTCTGTGTTTCTACATAGTTCTTGCTAAATTATTAATTTCATCCATACACCGTCCTATGTTTAACTGATTTTAACCAATAGGAACACTCTGAGTGGAAGTAGTACTGGAAAATTTTCTAACACATGCGTCACAGCATCGACAAGCACTTGAACCACTTTCAGGAATTTTTTCTGAAAGAAAACACATTTTTGAACACAAATACTTTTGACAGTGATTGTACATACTTTTATATCGAACGGAGCTTCAAGCTGGTTCATATACCCATGAACCAAAGCGTAATGTAGTTCTGACATAAATCTACAGATACATTCACGTACATATAAAAACAAGACGTAGCGTCAAGACTGCAATTCATTTGGGAGGATCGGAATTTAACATTAAATTGTCATACGAAACTGTTTTTTCGTATAAGTTATTTTTCTTGGCTTGGACTACATATATCATTATATATACTGTTTTAAGTTTCTTTGTCCAACAAAATGTCTCAATGGGAACGTTTTGCAGACAGGATAAATTTTAAAACTATATTTGAAAGGCCTTTTGCGCCTTTGTTTGTAATTAAGCACAAAGCTACACAATGAGCTATCTGTGCTCTGCT